AATTTATACCCTAATTCATAGTTATCAGCCTCGGTGTTCGTAGTTACGTGTAACTTTGAGGAATTATATTCAGTTAATAAATCAGCAGTGGTTACATACTTAAATTAATCAGTTTGGTGAGAACCTTTCCTTTCCCTATCCTTCCCTACATTTCATTATCCAAACCCCATCATCTATGTAACTAACCAAATAAAATCCTATTAAAAGTATATAAAATATATTACATGAAGATAGGTTGGTGGGTTTAATTAATCAATAAAACTTTACCTGGATACCTTGCTCTAGAATTTTATACATGGTCCACCTTAAAAAAAGCTAGTATTCCTTTTTGTCTTTTATACTTTATTGCTCTAGCTTAAATATATATCTTTTATGGGAGATAAACCTTGTTTCAGCTGAACAACAGATTTTTTATTTAAATATTAAATGTAATTATATAACTAAATTTAAATTCAAAATTATTAACTAAACTGAAAATCACTATGAGTAGGTTAGTACTAAGGAGGTTAGCGTGATATAAACAAAATTTTAAATTTAAATTTTGTTGTGACTATTATAAAAAATTTCTATTAATTAAAAATAGAAATAATATTATACTAATTAATTCTAGTGTTGGATAATAAAAAAATAACATCTCTCTAAAAGTTATTAGTTTAAATTCAAGATTTATAATTTTTAAACAAAATTATCTAATTTAACCATGAAGTCACAATTAAAAATATCACTTTATTCTTTATATCCATTGGATTAGAAGAAGAAAAAAAACTTATATAGGTACATCTAGGGCAACAATTGGAATTACGAAGATACCATGATAAATTAATATGTATGGTTTAGATCTGATGCGGTATTCTCTCTAAAGTGAAATTGATTTCCACAAACTTATCCATGTAGTACCAAATATTGCTATCTAGTTCCCCAAATCAAAATCAATGTAAACTTCCCAGAACGAGACTATAGAAGAACCCTTCTAACATTTCAAACAAATATTTGCAATTTAAATAAAATACAAAAAATTTACTTGGCAGTTTCCATTATTATATTTTTTTATTAACATTAATATTTGTTCCTTTCGATATAACCAAAAGACAGAGGTAAAAACTAGGATTGGTGCATTAAGTTATATCAGTCTATATAAATATATATTTGAGTAATATTTAAAGAATTAATCAGTTATATACTGTTAATGTAAAAATTTTATACCGATAATTAATTGTATTTATGTCATGTTATTATTAAAAAGTAAATATTTATAATAATATGACATAATTAAAAAATATAATTAATTATTAATGTAAATAAATTATAAATGATTAAACGAGATTCATGGCAATTGGGAAACCATAATGTGTCCACATGTGATAATGTATGTTAATTTTATACTAATGTGTACCTCGATTGCAGGGAAGGTTTTGCAGGGTTGTAGCAGCCTTTTCCTTTATGTTCACTAGATTCAGATCCACCAATCACAACACCATTCTCCAATTTGTCATTAATCATAACACCACATTGATGTTCAACTAAACCCACTTCGACTAATAATAGTACCCTCATACATTATGTCATTGCAATTTCTAGTGTCTAAATTAACTTGTTAAGTACTAAAATCTAATTGCTCTATTCTTCACTTTTACAAACCGGTTATAATCAAGTCTAAACATTTTATTTTTATCTTTAAATTAATTTTATTATGATGATTGTGATTGACTTGGGAAAAACCAATTCAAATACGCGTTAAGCTTCAAACATATTAAATGTTTATTAAATTGGTCACTATTTTATTAAACAATAGACGTGTTTAACATGATAAATATTAAATGTTTATGTTTTTAGCAAATATTTTATTAAATATTTGACATGTTTAAATGTATTACTATTATTAAATAATAGACTACACAAAATATTACATATAATGATACATGAAAAAATATAATTATAAATATAATATATATAGATATATTTATTTCATATATAATTATATATAATTTTAATATTTATTTAAAATAAAATTTAACGACATATTGTATATGTTACTACTATTATTAAATAACACATTACACAAAATATTACATATAATAATATATAAAAAAGAGTTATTATAAATATAATATATATAGATATATTTATTTTATATATAATTATATATAATTTTAGTATTTATTTAAAATAAAATTTAACGACATATTTTATATGTTAATATTATTATTAGATAACACACTACACAAAATGTTACATATAACAATATATATATATATACACACACGAGTTTGTAAATACATTTTTTAATAATATATTAATATATATTATATTTATTATATAAATAAAAATATTTATAATCATTATTTAATGTTATATATATACTAATTATATTCGACTATATATAAACAAAATTAAATTATATATATTAAAAAGGTATGATATTGATATAACTTTTATTGATTATTATATTATTTAATAATTTTATATTAAATATAAATTTTATCGATATAATTGTTGAATTATAATTTTTGTAAGTTTATATATATATATATATATATATATATATCACCTTATAACTTTAATATATAATGTTTAATAAATAATTAGTTTTAATGATATAATTTTAAATTTAATAATAAATTATAAAATAACAATTGTTACGTTTATTTCATATAAAATGTTCAAATATCTTATTTTTATAGATAAAAAGAAAGTAACAATATAAAATATACTTTACAATTATAAATTTCAGTCAATTTTTATCTAATTAATTATACTCTGCTAATTAATTATAAATTTTTTATCTATGTTTTGTCTAATTAATTATCACATATTTTCTTCATTCCTGTTAATTTATTTTCCTCTGACAAGCATAGCATTAATAATACATGTAATCATTTTCGTCGCACATTCAATTCAAAGTAATACTAGAATGCTAATAATAATCAGCAAGAATATATGAAAATAAAATTATTTCCTACTTTTTTTAGTCATGAATGTTATTATTTAAAGCACGGGGATTTATAGAATAAATAAAATTACGCCACGTGGTCCTCACACGGTTTTCTTTCTTATCCTATCCTAAAACACCACGCGGGCACGACAAAGATACATCTAGTGTTCGTATATATCAAAGAATTGGATTTTCAAGAATAAATTTTTTCAATTTCTTATACAAGAAAAAAAGGGAAAAAAAAAAAGAAGATAAAGCTACACTCCAATTTTCGAGTGCCTAGTTAGAAGAGAAGGAAAGGTAAGAAAAAAAATAGGTAAAGAAAGAAAAATTGATAAATATAATTAATAATATGTTACAAATAAAAAAAAAAGTATAAGATGAAAGAGAAACTTAATATATCTATACATGTATATAAAAAAAATAGATTTGTTTATAATCGATTTTTCTCTCTACAATTTTTAGATATTTTTTATTTTAAAATATTTAAATAATAAAAAATAATATTAGGAGTTACTTTCATTCTTATCACTTAAATAAGTTAATCATCTTAAATCCTCAAAGTCAAATTGTTAACTACCTATTTTATTATTTAACCTCAATTCTAAACTCCATTTTATGAATACAATAGTTTAAAATACAATAATAAAAAATATAAATGTGATAAAAAAATAAAAAAAAACTAATATAATATTATTATTGAATTGTATTGTACAAATAATAGTATAAATTTTGAATTTATGCTACAATATTATAAATATAATATATTCATCGATTTTGTTGATAAACTAGTTGCTTTGAATAATTTTTTCTCTATTATTTACCATATTTGTTCTCGTATGCATGACTTTTTCAACTAATTTTTAATTTTTTTTAAATTAATTTATTTAATTAATAATACTAAATTTATTAATGATTTAAACTAATTTTTTTTGCCAAAAGTATTCTTGATGTTATTGAAATAGTCATCTCTTTTTACTGAATTACTTCTCATCTAATTAAGTAATTTTTGAAAACTATGTCTGTTTGTTTCTTCCATTCTAAGAAAATGTCTATAAACATTTTTTCAAAATCACCATAACTTTGTTATTTATTTTTTTAAATTGGAATCTTATATATAAGATTAAAAAGTAGTACATTTTTTCTCCCCACATGCTTGAACCCAAAAAAAATAAAATCTTACAAAATTCAATTTATCTTCATTAAAACTAGCATAATATTAATGTAGTATAATTTAGGAGAAACTAAACTCGAATATAATATCATAATTATTCTTAATACTATTCTTTAATTAAAATTAAATTTTCACTTCAAACATCTTATTAAACACTATGGGGAATGAGACACTATGTACATGTCTCAATTGAAAAATAAAATAAATAAGTGGTTTTTTTTTTAAAATTATAACTATTTGTAAGTGTTAAAACAATGTTTCGTAAATGAAAATTACATTTTATAAATATAGATTAATCAATAATTGTTAACTTAAAAATATTAGACGGTGATTACATTTTTATTATTTATAGTTGATTAAAGGTATATTTGTCTTCAAAAGTGGATTCTAAAACATGAAATACCCTTTTATATGTGGTTATACTTGATTAATAAAAAAGAGACATTTCATATCTTTACATATTTTATTTAAGTAAAAATAAAAACAAGAGAAAAATAAATAATAAAAGAAGTGATTAATTATAATAAAATAGATGAAATATTTAATTAAAATATAGAGGAGAATTAATAACACACTTTCTAACATATTTTTCTTAACACATTCATTTTCATTAAATAAAACAAAAGACCAATCAATTTTTTATATTTGTAATGAATTTCAACTAATTAAACAAAATGTTTAAAATAATATGTTAAAAACAATATGTTATTAATATTTTTTAAAAATGTATATAACATAGATGGATAAGAAATTTATTAAATATTAATGCGTAGTATTAAATAAGAGAGATATAGAAGAGTAGCCGAGGGGTACGAAGAAACCAAGAAGGCGGCACTAGGGAACGTTTGGGAAACCGAAGTGAAAAATACCGGTCAACTGTCCTTTATATTAAACAGTGGGAGCCACAAACCAAACCAAACCAAACCAAACGCACCACAACAAGATAGCTTCTTACTTGTAACTTGTAACTTGTTACTATGTGAAGCTTCACCCAGAAACCATGCTCCATGGCCAAGATCATTCACCAAACCACCTCAAACATGTCACACCTCTGCCGGAAAATCGTCCACGTCCAAGTCCTCCGAAGGGTCTCCTTCGTCGGCAACTTCTTCCGCTTCATATGGAACAGGCTTCTTGTTTGCTCCGTCGCCGGGGGCCAACCTCGCTACCGGAAACTACCCCTCCACGACTCCTCTTCCTCCTCTACCTCCACCTCTGACCACGCCTTCCCCGCCCCCGCCGTCACCGGCTATGACTCCGACTCCGATTTGGTGAACCTCAAGATCAGCTTGTTGGGTGATTGCCATATTGGAAAAACTACTTTTCTGGTCAGCAACTTTCTTACTTTACCAATTCTTTCACAAATTTATTAATATTTTACACCAGAAATTATCATATGTTCTGTGCTACTAGTTGTCTACTGTCGTGAACAATTTAGCCAGAATTATTTGCTCCCGACTAGTGGAAGGGTTAATATAATATGTACAAGTAAGAAATAATTTTGACTTTATAATCCAATTTTTTAATGTTGGGTTACATGCATAATTTTAATTTCTTAAGAGCTAATTTTCAAAATTTTCTTTTTAAGAAAGAGTTAATAGAACTCAATTATGTGCTAGTTTGATAAATATTTGTCGGGTAATAATTTCTCATGAATTCCTGAAGGGTCTAACTGTCTTGGGGTTATGTGAATTTCGATTTTCAGATCAAGTATGTAGGGAATGAACAAGAAAAGAGGAGCCTACAGATGGAAGGATTGAATCTGATGGACAAAACTTTGTCTGTTCAAGGAGCTCGTATTTCGTTTAGAATATGGGATGTTGCAGGTGCTTTGCTTAAACTTTACCTTTCACTTTACTTCCCAGTGTACTTTTACATTTGCTTTTTTGTTTTGAGTTAATTGATTAATATTATGTGGCGTGTGTAGGTGATAAAAGTTCCCTGGATCAAATTCCCATGGCTTGCAAAGATGCAGTTGCTATTTTGATTATGTTCGATCTCACCAGTCGTTGTACACTAAATAGGTAGGCCGAGAGGTATTATCTGTGTACTTAGTTCGGTGGAGGCTTTCTTGAAACGTGATGGTACAAATACTTACTATATATTGCTGTTTGTGCAGTGTTGTTGGATGGTACAGTGAAGCAAGAAAGTGGAATCAGGTACCATAAATTCATTTTACATGGTTTGTACTTTTTTGTAGTATTGCTTGAATTGGTTTCATTTCGTAAAGTGAATGCCCCTGTTTAAATTAAAGTGTCGTTCGAATGGCTTTTCACACGAAAACTTTTTTTAAAAAACGAGCCAAGTTTTCAAGTAGTGCATATGGATAGAGTAACTGCATTATTATATTGATAATATAAGAACTATATATTCTGTTTGATAATATCCAAAATTTGACATTTTTGGGTGAAATTTCTGATGGAATGTCATTCCACTTGCAGAGTGCAATTCCAATTCTAATAGGAACCAAGTTTGATGATTTTGTTAGACTTCCCCCAGATGTACAATGGACAATTGTAACACAGGTAAATGAGTAATAGTTACTACTGCTGCAACATAAGGTTTAGTAACTTTCTCTTAATCATGCCTCATATATGCATGTTGGTATTTTCCCCATTTGATGCATCCTTGATTGGCTCGGGAACAAAGAATAAATTCTTCTAATAAATAGGACTGTTATTTGGAACCTCAGCACGTGTCAGTTATCAACTAGTGTATTTCCGCGTTTGGCATTAAACAGTGGGGCCTACATGTTGATTAAAGTTGAATCAGTTCTGTGTCATTGGCACAAATTCAGAGTTTTCACTTTGAATAAAGTTACTTTTGATCATATTCCTTGGCTTTTCAAAATTTAACTTGGTGACATACATACAGGCAAGGGCATATGCAAGGGCGATGAAGGCAACCCTTTTCTTTTCGAGTGCTACACACAACATAAATGTGAACAAAATTTTCAAGTTTATCATGGCCAAACTCTTTAACTTGCCTTGGACAGTGGAAAGAAATTTGAGGGTTGGAGAACCCATAATTGACTTCTAAATTGTTCTTTACACTGATTCATATGTACATAGCAGGACCAAGGAGAATAAATAATAGAATGAGAAAGAAAACAAGTCAAAATTTTCTGTTTACACCATTCAGCGCCACCTAGGTACCTAATTTCCATGTTTCAATAGGCCATTTTGACCACATGTCTTTAGAGAGTGAAAACCTTAAATCACTAATTTTGTGACTCAGTTTGTCTGTCGCCATAGGCTTCCCCTGTTGTGGCTGAGGTCAAAGCCCACAGGTATTCATATTTTTCAATATGTTCAAATTAAAAGCAAAAAGAAATTCTATTTCTATGTAATTTTTGTATGTTATATTTAGAAGACTTTTAGTAATACAGTACTTTATAATGCTCTCTTTATCATTAGTAAATACTCTTTCGAATACATTCTCTTTTCATTGGTTTTAATTTATTAAAAAATATAAAAATATATAAATAATATATCTTATTTAATGATTATCTTTTATTAAATTTTTATTTTTATTTATTAATTTAAGGTATGTATGATTACTCACTAAGGGTAAAAAATGAGTCAACTCAATTAAGTATACTCTTATTCTAGTGAAAAATGATGTTGAGTTGAGTTAAGCTTGAACTATTTTGTTGTTGGATTGAAAACTTATTTAAAAAATTATAAATTATATTTTATTTTATTTGTTTTATTTTTTCTTTAAATTTTATGATGACATATAATTAAAAAACAAAAATAGTATAAAACTAGTAATAAATCACATAATTCAAATGACATCTATCATTAACAATAAAATAACTGTACAGTACAACCATAAATAAGTTTATGGAAAAAAAATACACAATATAATTACAAATATAACTTAATAAATAAATGGACTTCAAATAAAATATAACAAGCGAATATTAATAGATAAAATGTAAAGAAAAAATGTTGGTGAAACTCAATTGGGAAACTTAATAATACTAAGGGGTAGGATGTTTCGTAAGGTCCATTTCTTAATTTGACATGGTTTTTCTGAGTACTTGTGTGACTAATAAAGAATATAATTGAATTGCTCATATAAATCTAAGCCATAGATGGGATTGAAATATTACTTCAATACTTTTAAAGTTTTTATTACTATTTAAATTTATTTTTTAAAAAAAGTAAGTCATAAGTGGGAAGTACAAATTGCTCCACCACTTACCTATCTCAGTAATTCAGTAAATTTGGATTACTATTTCAAATTACAGGTAGTATATCATATTTTATTTTATATTACACTATCTGAGTAAAAAGGTAAAAACAAAATTATCATTTATCTTGCCATAATAGCAACAAATTTGGATATTGTGTTTATGATTCCTTCTCCTTTGAATTTGATGAAACAATACTACAGAACATTAAATTTGCAAAGCGCGCCTTATATTTTATGTATGAATATCCAAGCTTGAATATTATTAGAATGCACATAAATACCAAGTTTTAGCTTTAAATAAAGAAAATTCTAAAGCTGAAATGCATGTCAATTAGATTGTGAAATTTAAAGAGAAAAGAAATCGAAATTGAGAACTCAAGATGTATAAAAGCTATGAACCCATTGCACATCACATGTACATCCAATACAACTGAAAAACCGAAGATTATATAGAACAATATTAGTGATACAACACTTTCAAATATTATTTAATAAGAGATTGATATCTCTAAGTTTCTTGAAAACCTTGGAACTATCAATAAAACTTCTTCGGCTTGACGATAATGAGACTCCATGGTCCTACCAGAACCATCCTTCAACATGTTTGTAGTGATCTTTTTCAAAACAACTCCACAAATAATAATAAAAAATTAATGGATGAGATTTTCTTGCTATTGTATTTAGAAGAGTAGGAAAATATTAAAAAAAATTATCAGACTTTTTATATATGTATTTATGACATGACTTGTATTTCGTAAATATTAATATAATAATTTATTTTAAAAAAAACTCTACACAACTGATTTATATATTATTTTCACTTATACATTTTATTTTGAATTAATTTTTATTTGAGATGAGACTGAAAGTTTTTCTCGATAAAATATGACCCAAAAAAAAAAACATTCGTCAACTAATACAATTTAATCATCTTTTTGTAATTCCAAAAACAAAAATGGATCGATTCAAAAGAGTGAAAGTTACAATGAATAGTGATTAGTGAAAGTCTAATATGATTTGTGATAATAAAATGATGCTTCTGACCTGTATTAGTGTGAAAGTTACGATATAGTGCCTTATGCATCAGAGTACTTATTCTAATATGTTTTGTGATAATAAAATGATGCTTCTGAGCTGTATTCACTTTTGTGTGAAGATTCTAATATGATTGCCAAGGCTAAAAATAAAATTTAGGAAACATATTAATATCTTAATCAATTACTATATGGTATTAGTGTGATCATTCTATTCTGTCTAAAATACCAAAGTTCTTCTTCCTACTTTTACTTTGTAACGATATAAAAATAATAAATTTAATATATATATATACCTTGTTTTTGTATAAATATAATATTTAATAAGTATATTATTTTTAAATATAGTATATTATAGTATTATGAAATTAAGTATATATGGTGTTTATTTAATAAGTTAATTAATATTATATTAATGAAATAACTTTATTTTATTATTTTTAACATACTTTATTATAGTTAATAAATAATATTATAATACATTTAATAAATAAACTATTTTATAATATAAAAAATATACCAAAGTTAATCATATATGTATACACATATATAATATCTGAATAAATATATTTTGTCATCGTGTAATGCATTTATTAAAGTCATGATTGTATTAAAAAAAATTGGAAATGAAGTGATTTCTTTCTTATATAGTACTAATTAATTTACTAAATAAAATAAATTAATCAATGCTACACAAGTAAAAAAATCACTTTATATTTTTACTTTTATAAATATCATATTATAATTGATAAAAATGATTAATAATGCATCAGGAAAAATGCATATTGACATATTTCAAACACACATTTATTATGTTTAATCAATAAATGATATTATAATACATTTAATAAATATAAATTTTATAATATAAATATTATCATAGTTAATTATATATAATATCTGAATAAATATAATTTATCTTTATGTAATATTATACAGTTTTACAAAATTTATTTTAAGAATAAAAAGGTAAAGTGATTTCTTTCCTACATAGTATCCATTAATTTATTTAGTACAAATAAATTAATCAATACTAAACAAGAAAAAAATCACTTTATCCTTTTATTTCTTTAAATATCATATTATATATAAATAATAATGTATCAGAAAAATGTATATTTACATATTCCTAATATATAATAATGTATATTTATATTACTATAGTAAATTATATATAATATGCACTAAATAAATTAATAAATATTATATAAAAAAGAAATCATTTTATTTTTTTTACTTTTTTGTAAATAGTATATTATATTTTTATTTATTTTTTAAATATACACAAGGAAAAATCTACCTCTTTTTTTCATATATTTATAAAATATTATACTAATATCATTAAATATTATATTTATTTTACTGCTTTGAGAATTTACTATAATGTTATATTTTAAATATATATAGATTTGTATTAATAGATTTTTCTTGTATATTAAATTCTTTAAATTTAATAAATGAAATATCTCTTACTATTACCAAAGTTAAATATATCTCTGGTTAATCAATGTCCAACACACATGAAATGTAGTGTTTATCTTTGTTGTAAGAAGTGTATTGTGTGTGGTGTGTATGAAACAAAGATGCTGGTGTGTCTACATAATATTTTGTGTGCTATGAATTTTAAGGAAGATCCTACGATGTGAATTGTGATTGTTAGTTGTTCTGGTTTGTGTTATTCGTGTGTGTCAAAGTGTCTTCAACTGTTATGAACAAAAAAGAGAGAATGTAATGTATACTCTAATTGGATTTCTTTTCTTTAGAAATTATCATGTATACCTCGTGAATAATTCCAGCTTACAGGAAATATATATATATATATATATATATATATATATATATATATATATATATATTATTTTTTAAATTACTTAATGATCACTCATTTTCTTTTTCATTCGCTGTTGAATCACCCCAAATACAAGAGCTTAATAAGAGAAACGCAATATTCAAATAAAAAAATTAAAATATATCATAAGACGTATATACAATATTAATAAATAAGGATTATTATAAAAAAAAATTATTAACTTAAGCTATGTTTCTTATTAAAAATTAGAATTTAAATTGAATTTTGTACTTCAAGTGAAAACTAAAAATATTATTTTACACTCCTGACTCGTTATAAAGGAATTATCTCTTAATTAAAAAATGATTAAAAAATATTATAAATGAAGATAGATATTCACATATTATTGGATAATAAATGAAATAAAAATGTTAAATACTACAACTTAGATTGGAATATGAATCAAAGTTGAAACTCGTGCAGTGGACTCTAGCTAGCCTAATACGACACACCTTCACCTTCTCATCTGTGTTTGTGTTTCGTCAACAATAAAATGTTTCTCAGATGTATTCATTTTTATAATCATTTTTTTTCTTCACCAGTATTTTTTTATTTTTTTATTCTATGTGTGTACATGCACAATTTTTGATGAAGGGAAATACAATTTTTGGAAAACATATTAATTTTATATTAGTCGATTACTGTAATATTAATGGCTCTAGAGGAAATCAACGGATGCAACTTTGAAAAAAGAATGCATCTAATTTTAATTGTGTTTTTTTCTTCTTCTTTTGTACTTTTTATTATTTTATTACATGAAAAATTATACTCACATTCTATAAAGTCTAAATGATATATATTTCTCTTCTGATTTTTTACAAAGAACTCATTTTCTTTGTAATAATATCATTGGTTAATGTGAAAAAAAAATGAAAAATCAATTCATATATGCATTTATCTTTCGTTTATAAATTATATATGATATTTTATATTTTTTAATAAAAGTTTTAATTATTCTTTAATTTTAAAAAATAATAATTTTTTAATTTATCCTTTGAAATTATTCCTTGAATTTAGTATGTTTTTAAAATTACAATACATTATATTTATAATATAATTTGAGACTTAAGGTTGAGTAAGAGAGCAATTCTCGTTCGATTGTACATTTACGTTAATAATTTATTTTTCTCTTAATAGTACACAAATTATATTATCTTATATAAAGAATTATATGTGTTACTTATATAAATAAATAAAAGAGGTTACCATTCACTTAAAAACTAGATAAAAAATATGTGTCATTTAAAAAAATCTTAAGGGATGTAAATACATTTTTTCCTCTATTATATTATTATATTTATTAATTTTATGAATATATATCAACAATATACTATTTTATAGTATTATCAAAGTTAAATATAAATATTATTAAATTAATTAAATAATTAATGCTATAGAAAAAAATATTTAAAGATATTATATTAATTTTTGTGCATTTATGTATTTTACTTTGAATGTACATAAAATAAAATATAATGTAATACATTTAAGCCTTATTTGGTGACCAAGATATATGATAAGATACAATATGATAAATTAAAAATTACTTATAGATATACTTTTTTATCCTTAATTTACTGTTAACTGTATTTCATAGATCAAGTTTGCAAAATTTTCAAAGATTTAAAAATCATTTAATACTTTATTTTATTAATTTAAATTAATGGATAATTATAAGGTCATTTTATACATTGATTTTAATTAATGAAATGAAATATCAAATGGTTTTCAAATTTTTTAAAAATTTGCAGATTTGATTTATGTATTAAAAACTTTAAACGGATTGTTGAAATTTATGTAGAACACGTGTGCGTGTGTGTGTGAGAGTTTTGGGTAACATATCTAGAAATTTTCTAGATATGTTACCTAAAATTGGATATTTACACATATTTTAAATATCATATTATACGTTAAAATAAAAAAATGTGATGAATTATTAAATAATTTTTGAATTATGTGAAATTTGATATACATAATCTTGAATATAATATCACATAATTTAGCAGTTTGATTGATTCAATTTCATCATACAAAAAAATTATTGGAGATATAAGATTTAATGTAAAATTTTTAGACTTACACGTAGTGTTAGTGGATTTGACTCATATATACGAAAGAGATCTACTTATTTTAAGAGTGAGTCTTGGTTGACTTACAAGACTCACTCCACTTAATAATTCATATTTTATATTAAATTTCAATAATTCAATCATTAAATTAAACTTTTTTAAGATATAGATCAAATCTGTAAATTTATAAAAATTATTTAATACTTTATTTCATTAATTTAAATTAATAGATAATTTTAAAAATATTTTATAAGTTAATTTTAATAAAGTATCAAATATTTTTTAACCTTTTAAAAAATTTATAAAATTAATATATGTATTAAAAAATTAATTTAATAAATTAAATCATTATAATTCTATATAAAATATAAATTATTTAATGAAATAAAAGTTTAAAATCTTATTCATACACACGCAATCGTGCAAGTGGTAGAGCAATTACTTCTCATCTACAAATGACTTACCACGTGTTAAAACAATTTGTTCCACCACTTATTCCTAGTTTAAAAGTATGTAAAGTTTTTTTTTTATTAATAATCTACGTGAAGTTAGTATCTTGTATTTTATTTAAATTACACAACCTTGGCAAAAATTAAAATTATCACAAGCAAAATTATCATTTCTCTTCATTAAAACAATAAATTTGAATTTTGTCTTCATGAATCCTTATCCTTTGATGAAATACTACAAAACATAAACTTGTGAAGCCTTTAGATTTTATGTATGAATAACCACGCTTGAATATATAACGAATGCATATAAATACTGAATTTTGCCTTAAAGAAAGAAAAAATTCAAGCCCGCCACACATGTCAATTAAAAGCTGTCATAAATTGAATATTTGTAAATGCAATCAAATTCAATACCCATATGCATCTAATGAAATTTACCAAATCCAAAAAAAGACGTATATATAATTTAGACAAACATATTGTATTAAATGAAAATGTATAATAATAATAAGAAGAAGGTACTGAGATTTATTTAAATGATTATTTGTTTTCAATAAATATTTTTTTTTATATATATCTTATGCAACTAACATCTTTTTGTCTTCAAAATTATAGTTTCCATAGAATACAAAAACAATTCTTAGACACCTACCCACTGAACTCTATGAGAAGAAGAGAGAGAGAGAAAAATGACAATATTTAGTGATATGATGTGATAAGAAAAAAAGAAAGATTGAGAGAAAAATAAATAAATAATAAGTATTGATGATATGTATAAAATTATGAAGTGTCCAAATATCATACTTGAAATATTATTGACACAGTAGTTTCTGAACACATATATAATCGATACAACACGTTGGAATATTATTTATTAAGTGGTTGATATCTTTAAGTTTCTTGAAGCCTCTCTAAAGCCATTCATTTCCACCACTTCCAGACTTTAACTCAAAGCATTTGTAAATTCAAAAGAGTGAACACGTACTAGCTAGGGTCTATCAAGGTTACTCTTATAATTAATTACAAAGCTGGTAATAATTTATTATACAACAATTAACAAATTAATTTAGAGAGAGAAAAGGTGATGAAGAAAGCAGAAAACTGCATGCAGTAAAAACTAGCAGTAGAGAGACTTTCCACCAGATTGCAGAGAGAAGTGGATTTTTAACCATTTCAATATAAAATAAACGAATAAATACTCAAATAAAACATGTTGAACATTATTTACCAAACTCATACAAATACTATTCACCATCCACAGATGGGTTACCCATTCACTTATTTCTCTCTTTAATATTTTTATTTTTATTTTTTTCTCCATTCAAAAAAATATTAGTTGCCAGTTCACCGATTTCTCTACTGTTATTTTCTTATAATTTCCTTTTCTTTTTCTTATTTTCATGTATTTTTTTTTAAATATTAACATTCTTAATTATTATATCTGTGTTTCATTTACGGTCAAATTAGAATATAAATATTCATTTTAATTTGTAGTTTATTGTTTTTTTAGAAGAGAAAAATGTTAATTTATTTTGATAATAATATTTTTTAAAGTACATTATAGTTAGTAAAATAATTTTTTCAAACAACTAAACTTAATTTTAAAATTGACTTTAATTAGGCTAATTCAAGTATGAAAATTGTATCGCTGGATTCATTTAAAAAAACTACCGAAATGTGAAATTGTTCACAGAAAAAATAAATCATAAACATGACCAAAAACATGCCAAAAGTGATCCTAGAGAAAAACTTTAAACACTAACATTTCAAATTTCTTAAAATTGAAAATCTTTAAATTTAAAAAACAAAAAAAATAAACATAAAAAACAGTAAATTATTTGAATGTTTTATTTAAAATATTATTATTACTTCAATTAATTAAATATAAAATATATATTTATAAAAATAACAATAAACTAAAAAAAACGAAATTCCAAATAAAATAACAAAAAAGAAATTGGCCAATGGACAATGAAATTTCTCAATAAAAAAAATAATAAAAATAAAAAAATAGATAAATTAGCCAACATATAACTGATTTCTTAATGGCAAAATCTTGTTTGTATCATTTTGATAATAATCTTGAATATTTTTTATTTGAGTATTTATTTGTTCCTTTTATATTAAAAATTTCACCTAGGTCGAACTTGTTGGTATTACCACACCTATGGCGAGAGACTTAAACATGTTTTCCACTGTGGAAAAGTTAGTATATGTCGTTAGATCTATTTAATTTTAGATCTATGGTTAATATTTTTGTTTTCAAATTCTCATTTTTCATTAACGTACGCATGGGAATTCATGAAGTAAATATTTATATTTTAGGCAGAATATAAATAAATATTAATAAAATACCATAATATTAATGACTTTAGAATGAAAAGTAAATGGGTTCAACTTTGAAAAAAAATGCATATACTTGTAATTGGATTTTTTTCTTTGTATTTTTTTCTTCAGATTCTATATATGCATTGATTATATAATATTTATTAAATATTATATGAGTAATAATGAAATCTTTATTTTTTTTATTATAAAAATTCTATATTACAATTAATAAATAATAGTATATAACAGAAAAGTTTCTTGTTAATGTATTTATAAAATATTTTATTAATCTATAAGAATATATATGTCCATATGACTTTTTGGTGTTCACTTTTTAAAAGGAAATTATACTTTTATGTTCTTTTTAACTTCTTTTTTTGCACTAATATATATTTAATGATAAAATAGAAAGAAAAAAATGTATAAAAATAATTAACCACTTTTAAAAAAAATAATAAACACAACTATTTCTTTTTATAGATAGAAAGTTTCTGTTTTTAGTAACCATAAATATTATATTAACTAGAGATATAACAAATAAAAACTTTATAAATGAGAAATAACCCACAATCTACTTTCTAAAATGTTATTATAACTTATATTCTATTAATTATTAGACTGATCGAGACATTTTATGTCTCTAATAATTATACAGACAGGATATTAGATGATTATTAGTGGTTAGTAGACTGATCGAGATACTTTATGTCTCAACGCTTGGGTAGAAGCTGAAAAGATATTTGATAAGGAATATATTAAAAAAAATGTTGAACAAAAGAATATCCATTTATCTCCTTAATTCGAAAGACAACCGTTAAAACGTCAAAAAGAGAAAAGGAAAAATACCATATTACATGAATCATTTATATATATAAAAACCAAAAATAAAAAATAAGCATATTATAAAAATTAAAAACTTATAGAGGTATTTTTCATGATAAGAAGACCCATTTTATGTTGCGAATTGGTAGTAAAATAGTTTAAGTCCGGCTTCTACTTTTTTTCACCTTATCCATAAAAATAATTTTGGGCTTCAATAGCCTCTAAAATATCATCCACAACTACAACACAATAACAAATACAAACCACGCGTTGACCAAAAAGGACAAAATCTATGCTACTATATCTTATATTATCTCATACTCATACAATGGCTTAGGCCCATCTAATTTCACATTTCTGCTTCTTCATTCTGCTCTTCTACACTTGAATTTTTGGAAAACAGTTCATACACCCTTGAAGAACAATTTAGATAATGATGTTAAATATTAAATTCAGGATTCAGATTACTTGTTCTAAACACATTTGTGACCATCTTGCAGTTGGAAGCTCAAGTTCGAATGCATAGCATAGCAGCACCATGAGACTGGTTTGGCTCTCTTATCTACCTCTACCATTTATTTTCTTTCTGACTAAAATCACAGTGCATGTCAACACAATACCTCTCACGGTGTCCATAACAAGATACTCTGGATGTGAAATACATCGTATCAACACAACAAACCATCATATTTTTACTGATTGTAAAATACTTCGAAATTGTTGGTTAATATGTTCTTCCCATTACTTCACCTACTACAAAGAAAAAATGTTGGCAACAGACTCTCCAACACATTTTTTTTCTAACATTTTACTATTAATTAAAAATTATTGAAAATTACATAACTAGAAAAGAGTCTCACTATACGATAGAAGAGCACAAAAAAGAAAAAAAATTTAAATAAATTTCAATCGATAAAAAAGAGTGTATTAGAAAATATGTGGTGGCATTAGAGAATATCTACACTAGTGTCAGCAGACGTTAGTATATTATTTGATAAACCATAACAAGCATCGAAACAGACCATCATACTCGGATTATAGTCAATAACACCTTATTATAATATGCCATGTCTTGAGAAACTTTCCTCAGACTAAACACGTTTATTCCTCAAACTTGATGATATCAGAAAAAGAGGAGGGCAAAAAACTAATCATCTCTAATGATAATGTTCCTCGGTAGTGTCATCATTATTATAATATATACAAATAGACAAACAGCCGGATCATCCAGTCTTTACCAATATCCAGCTGGCACATTCCAAAATCATCTTCCTCATCTCATTTTTGGCTGAGTAGAGCATAATTCTCTGACTCCTTGACCTTACTGCTTTGCCTGTAAACAAGATTAGAATGCGAAATTAGAGCAAAGAATACATGCTAAACAAAATTTTTTATTTCCAAAACAAAATATCATAAACAACCCACGTAGTTAATATTATTAAGTCTATTTCAATACAAGCTTAAAAACACTTTTGAGAACTTTATTACTAAAAATAAAGTTTTTTTTTTCTCAAAAACATTTATAACTTGTATCCAAACAGGCTCATAGTCTGTTTATTACTTTCTTACCACCAATATTCTTTTCTTAATTTTTCAAGGCCTAAAACGATAACAAAACAGATGTGTGCCAATCAAAAGCTTCATTGCAAAGGTGAGAACCAAAGCATTTGGGGTAGTCAACTTTTGAAGCTTTGGTATAATACTTCATGTTAAATAGATTTGGAAAAGGAATAAAAACTATGGATGACCAGAAGTTAGCCTCCAAAACGTCCCTAATACAACCTTTGCAAAAGGACCATTCAAGGCTCCAACCAATAAGGGGTAAGACTATGAGCATCTATATGTTTCATTTCTTCTTTTATTAGTGCATGACATGGCCAAAGGTCATAATAGTCGAAGAATTCAAATATGACTACAAAATTTTTATGTAGAAAATACCTGTGAATACAAGAAGGTTCCGAGGATGGCAATAGCAGCTCCTAGAGCATTAATAGGCTGAACTGGTGTGTGGAAGATAATGATTGAAGAAACTATAACAGAAATACGTTTCATGGTGTTTCCAATGCTAAATGTCAAGGGAGAGATCTCATCCAAAGACATATATGACACCTGATTGTACAAATGATAAAATATGCTCTGAGCTGCCACCCACCTGTTGTACACCAAGTAGAAGCCATATGTTTAATCATGAGAGGAAGAAGTGTAGAAACTTCGAGAACCAAAAGAAAAAGGACAATCACAAAAGATAAACTCAATCAAAACAAAATAACTCAGAAGGTCAATTTTCTATTTCAAAAACTCCGCGGTTTGCAGCATGTGTGCATGTGGAACGTATCTGGCAAGAACTCCTTATTGTGAGAAATGAGAATATTTAATTACAAAAATTAGGTTAAAATTAATGGTTCAAATTACATTTTTAATTACAAATATCAAGTGATCTTTAATTATAAAGAAAGAAAATCACGTGAAAATTATAACTAAATATGCAGTTTGAACCATCAATTTTAAAAAAATTGGTTATAACTGAATATTCTCATTTCTCATAATAAACAAGAATACTCAAGATTAAAAAACAAAATCATCAGACTTTTAAGCAGCCTTTAATCTCGATCATCCATGTAAAGTTTTATGGTTAAGATTTGCTCTTCTTGCTCTTTGATTAAAAATAGCTCTCGCACTACACACACACACATAGTGATTTAGTGTGTGTGTATATACACACTTAATCATATCTCACATGTTCATCGCTCCTCCATAAAATTATATTGGCCTCTCATTTAAATTAGACATGATCATTGATTTGAGCAAAATTATCTCTCAGTTTTGCAACTGTAGACACTGGCAATTGGAATAAAATCTAGCTGGGAAAAAATGTGCTAATTCCCTACTCTAGGTGCCATTTTGGATGTTAGTTTGTAATTGTATTATCTCGTTATTAGAGAAGAAACAAATAAGAGAGATTTAGCAGATGCATAGATACACCAAGCCAGCCAGACAAACTTCTAGAGAGGAAACTCAAAAAATGAAAATACTTGAGACGTTAAAACAACTGTCAATTCAATATAAGAATCCTAAATCCATCAAGGTTACAAACATTCAACTTGGAACTTAAACAAAAAGGAGATGATAAGACTAAGGGGATTACTCTAGTACCCATCTATTTTTCATGGGTACAGAAATCCAAGCAAAATGTCAAAACATTTACCAGTTGACAGTTCAATGGACTTTCGAACTATTAACTATTAAATCCACAACCAATTAATATTTAAGTCATATTAAGTACGGTACCTGTTTTGTTAAATAACAACCGCATAAAATAACCATCATCAATAACTACAAACAATTTATAGGCTACTTTTGGCACAATGGTCACAAAAACAGCAATTGTCACATACAAAACCCTAAGTTCCCTCATCCAATCCCTTCTTCCTTACCTTTACTCTCCGAGATATTGTACACGTATTTCATAATCAAATGGACTAATAATTTGCTAACATCAAATATATTGGAATTTATGAAAAGGACACAACATGTAGACAAAAATTGTTGGGAAAAAACACTATGAGAATGTCAATATATCGCCTTTATGCAAGTATGGCATGGATAACATCAGATTGAACAGACATCTTGTAATTACCATATAAATTGGGGTCCAATTTGAGAGAGCGCTGTTTGATATCCAGCTGCCCACATCTGTGGTCCCTCCACAGCTATCGCAAACGGCGTCAGAATAAGAAGGGACAACATAGATAAACATGCATAGTAATTCATTCCACTAACAGACTTTCCCTTCATGCCCTTTTTAGAAAAGATATTGCGGAATACAAATGCCAAGTTTGATATCATAGCCCCCATAAAACCTGAAAAATATAATAAAGCAGTTATGAAATCAAAATCAAGAGGGCGTGGTAAACTCAATTGCAGAAAGATGTAAAGTTGTAAGAAATACATTCCATCATAACCCCTGATAATGGCATAAGCACCCAAGTATACTATACGATAGTAAATCATCATTTCCTTGGTGGCTCAACACAAGCATGAAAGCACAATAATTAAATAAATATAAATCCACTAATAAACATTTTGCTTGTGGGGGAGGGGAGGATTGTGATATCGTCTTATATAACTTGCCATCAAATTATTTTCTCTCATGCCAGGTATGAAGTTCAAGTTCAAGTCAGTTTGCCATCTTGTCTCCAACTGTTATGCTATGCTCAACAACAAAATGGAACAGAATGTACTTGACAAAAAACGATCATTAGAAAATCAACTTCTTTACCAATCATATTGAAATTGAGCTCAGTCACAGCGGCAAGTGCACATCCACCGATGATAGGAAGTAAAGACAGGTAGACCGGCACTGGGAAGGTCTCACCCAGAATAAATCTGGAAACCAGAACACTGAAAGCAGGCTCGCCGCTCTTAATAATATGGGTGAATGATACTGCAACTTTTGACATGCTAACAGTTGCCGCTACATGTCCTATTGTATGTGCAACAGCAACCTGAATGAAAAAAAAAACAGCAAACACTAAGGTCCCTATATATCAATAAATAATTAGATGGAAAGCCATAACTATTCAACATCTCATTTGAATCCAAGAAATGCAAATTTACACTTCCAAAACTAAAAATTCCATCATTGGAAAAAAAAAAAATCTTATAAAGAGCTCCACCTAATTCATCAACAAGCTTTTAAAGGATCAACTTTTCTCTGTTTTTTTTCTTCATGAAATCATCAAGCTTTTCTAAAGTCAAACCACATAGATATCAAGAGATGGGAAAACATTGTTTTTTAAAAGGAAAAAAAAACTTTTTCCTATAAAAGATATAGTAAATGTTTGATTCTACATCTATGATCCACGTTTAACCAAGAATCACATCAAAATTATGGTAAAACAACTAAGTTTTGCTTCCACCGATTTACATCCAACCAAAAATGATATGAATCCAAACATGCTCATAATCAGTTGTAACCAAGGTTTTAAAAAGGTGCCCAATATCAAGGTTTTTGGGATCAAGCCTACCACAATTGTGGCAACATCAACCACATTTGTCCGCAATTTCCCACAATATCAAGCAACCACAGTACAACCACAACCACAATTAAGAACCTTGTCTACAACACATGCACAAACAAAAACATGCTTTCACTATCTCCCATCAATTTTTGTTCCAAGGAAACAAACAAAAAGCCTCTCACTTACAGGGAACAAAGTCTTCCAGAACTCAGGATCAGTCTTAGGAGGCTCAGCAATCCTGGTGGCCCAAGAGATCAACATCATGAGAGAGCCACATGCAAGGGAGAGGGTTGAGGTGAGCCAAGGGTAAGGGTATGCATTCAGCACCTTCTTGTTATAAATATTGAACACCACATTAAGAGCCCACCAGGTTGCAAAGTATATCCCAATTTTCACCTTCTTAGCAGCCTCTGATGGAGCCCCAGCCCCTTCAACCCCTGATCTCTCAGCCTCATACGCCCCACATGCCACCAAATCACCACGCTCACGCCTCACCACAGACCCAGAAAATTTCCCCAACCCAACAACGCATGCAAGGTGCAGTGGCTTCTGCACTGGCACCATAGATCGCAGAGCGTTGTTCTCCCTTGTTTTCACTGGAACAAGGGAACATGACTGAAGAAGTGAACCCCTTTTCCGCAGAAACACACCACCAGAGCCTCTGGTAGTGATCGGTGAGGCGGGTTGTTTCACCGTGCTAATCATGGTGTGATCACTGATGAAAAAAAGTATTAAAAACAATAAAGAAAAGAGAAACTTTGCGAGCAGAACCTTAATGGGTTGCTAAATAATTGAAGGAGGGAACAAAAAGAGAAACAGAAAAATTAGGGATCCCGTGCGTTTGTGTCAGTGTCAGAGCCGTGAAATGAACTCTCACGGACTGAGCACTATTATTATTGTTATGCGATGAGAGAATGTGTTTATGATTTGGTTTAGAAGAGCAATGCAAATGGAAGTTACTGCGGCAGAATGAGAGAAAGTTACAAGGCACCTCAGGATCAGTTTGGGTAAATTAGGTAATGAGAAAAGAGGTTACACATAACACAGTGAGTTGGTTTTGTGAAGTAGGAGACGAGAGCAAAAATCGTAGTTGGTGGTTTCTTTCTTCCTTTTTATCTTGGTTTGGTAGGGAAGAATCGATGGTAAAAGCCTTTGTTTCATGCTACTAACCATAAGGGTGTCAATGTAAATTTAGTATTTCTTAATTAAGGATGTTTTCTATTTTTTAATAAGGATGTACTCATTCCAATTAGCACAAGAGTAGGTATTTCAATAAAATATATTTACATCGCTTAATTAAGTGATAATGATTAGAATATTATTTCTTATGATTGAGAAAACCTAAAAAAAATATATTTTTTATAAAGAGAATTCAAATTTAACTTTATAAGAAATAAAACATTGAATACCAAAGAATGAAAAATGAACAATGTCGTAATCTCTCTAAATTTATTTAATGCATGTTTATTTTTAAAGGAGAGACACCTCTGAATTTTTTTAAAAATGACTTTTGGGCTTATGAGTTTGGGCCCGCATTTAGATTTCATAGAATTATGGACTGTATATGGGAAGGAGTTGGGTGGGTGGGTTAAAGTTAACGGGTTTGGTTTTGGGGTAATATGGTGAGAGACGTTCTCACTATCTAAACTCTAAAGTCCCAATTCTTCAAAAACCCTAAAAAACAGTCACTCTCACTGAAGAAGAAGAAGAAGAAGCCGCTGAAGAGAATTTGAGTTCTCCGAAAATGTCGATGTCCAAGAGTTCGAAGATGCTGCAGTACATCAACTACCGCATGCGCGTCACCATCCAGGACGGCCGCCAGCTCGTCGGAAAATTCATGGCCTTCGACCGCCACATGAACCTCGTCCTCGGCGACTGCGAGGAGTTCCGCAAGCTTCCTCCGGCCAAGGGCAAGAAGCCCGCCGACGCCGACCGCGAGGACCGACGCACCCTCGGCCTCGTCCTCCTCCGCGGCGAGGAGGTCATCTCCATGACCGTCGAGGGCCCCCCTCCGCCCGAGGAGTCCCGCTCCAAGGCCGTCAGCGCCGCCGCCCTTGCCGGCCCCGGCATCGGCCGCGCCGCCGGCAGAGGCA